CATAAGGGCACCGTTCTCGATGATCAGCAGGATATTTGCTACAACAGCAAGCTCTCAAAGGTCGAATTCAGGAACAGCGGCTCTTTGAAGGAATCGTCATCGCCGTACCCGGTTGCGCCTGTTCGACGACGATCGAAGAAGGTGCACGAAAGCGCGGAAGTCACCAGGTGTGCTTTGGCCCCCACCTCAGCAGCTGCCGGCGCCAGTTCCTCTACTACCCAGTCGCTGGCGGCATCGATGTGTTCTAAGACCCAGCAGTCACAGGCCGCCAACCGCACGGCGTCGCTCCTTGGCCACCTGCATCTGGAGCGCTTGGTCACTTTCGATCGCAAGATGGTGTTGTTTTGCGTTCTACCCTACGTGACACTGTACGGTTTGCTTCCTAGCTTCGTATGCGGTCTGTTATGGGGACTGTTCGTTGGCTATGTGGCCTGTTGCGTTTTATTTCACTTCTTTAACATAGCTGACAAATCCGACATATCCTTCAGCGGTACCGAAGCTGCACCGTTTTCGTCCATCATCTCCGCCGGCAGCGTTTCAAGATCATGGATGTCATTGTGTGGCTCGAACAATAGCTGCGTGGTAAGCATAAATTAGAGTATCGTACAATCGCTGTGCGATACGATGTCCTTATTTTGCCTACACAGTCGTTCATGCACCGTCTCCGGCTACCCAGCGTACATGATAACCAACATCTGGATCGTAATGCATATCCAAGATCGTAATCCTTGAAATATGTATTCAAGTTGGTAAGTCTTCTGATTCTATGGTTGGCAGCACGGGAAAACACGATAAAAGTTTTATTTACAACAATTACACCGTTTCAACCGAATTGCATCGGTCATCATCGGGGAAAGAACACGAAACAACGACATATTGCTGACTCATTTGGTAATTGACCCGATTGGCTGGACGCTAGTTCTTTTCTTCCATCAAGCCAGGAACCATGCTCCACGCTATGGAAATGTCAGTGGAGCAAACGGAACGGTTACAAGCATCATTTTTAACGCAGCGATGGGCAGCGACTCCTACATTATAATCTTCAGCTTGCCGCGGTGTCGATCGACAACCGTTACATCACTGTTGTTACAATCATGACCATTCTCAATTACATGACCAACCATAATGATCAGCGTTACGGTCCTTGATGGCACTCCTGTGATACGTTAATTTTTAACCCTCGACGCGTCTTGGCAATGTATATCCGGTCGCAGCTATTGCAAGCTATCTGATGGACAACGTTTTTGCTCTCCAAGC